CGGACCAGAAAGATTCCGTTCAAGCACGGAAGAAAGAAAGAAGAAAGTATCCGTATGCGGCCGAAGATAAAGGAAGAGATAAAATCCACTCGATTATTCCATGGTTCTTCGACGTCTCAGAGACGATCATTTCACTAAAGTATCGGCTGTTTGTCGGTTCTCTTTGAAGGCGACGAGATCACTCCGAGTGATTCGTCGTCGGCTATCATCGATTTCTTTCAGCCACGTTGACTCCATTCTTGCCAGTTATCTTGCGTCCCGTTCGTTCGTTCATTCTTCCATCTTCAGGTTTAACGATTTATCTCTATATTTTTATCACTATAGTTTTTATCACTCAATTTTATTTAACTCTCGTTTACAATCTGAACCTGGGTTTCGTATTAATTTCTCGAAGCAGGTTTTTATTTCTCGCAGAGAAAATCGTCTGACGAACTGATTGATATGCATGATACTGAAGTGAAACAAAAACTTCGTTGATCCAAAATTTTTCTCACGTTTCTTCGAAACGTAGAAAAAAAGTAAAAAGTTTATGAACAATGTGACGAACTTACGATGCAACACTAGACAAATTTTCTTTTGAACAAAAAACTATTTTCGTTGAAATAAATTTCCACCGATCTGATGTATTTTACAAAACGTCCGAAACAGAATATCCGTTCCATTCGTAAAGATGCAGTTTATTCCAATGACATTTCGTTCAATATCGACACCGATTAGGGGTGAAGATATTTCGTAAGCTTCATACGACTTAATTATCTCCGTTTTTTTTCTTTTCTTTTTTTTTTTTTTACCAAACGACAAAGAGGAAAGCTGAACGGGCTGGACACGAGCGACAGGTTCAGGCTTTCACCGAGTCACGGGCATCGATAAGTGGTAATTGATTTTACGCCCCTTGATTTATGGCCGGTGCGACACAAAACCTAACTTTTGGGGTAAAAATCGGCCGAATCCAACCCCATCGTTCCTCGTATCTTAACTGTCCGATCGACATGTGTTACCCCTTCTGCTCCCATGATGGGGTGGCCCACGAATTTCCATCTTTATCGGTGAAAATGCGATTCCCTCCTTTTGTCGAACTGCGTCATGCTTCCGATACGAATTGTCGAACTCTGCCATCGTTTTTTCTTTTCTCTCCCCTTGCGCTTGGAAATTACAAGACAGTACATCGTAAAAGTGAAACTGAATTTTTGGGAGAGAAATTTCGCTCATGGTAAAGCGATTCACCAGTTGAGAGTCAACTACAGTGTCGTGTGCGTTCGAAAGAAAATTATTACTTTCTGTTACTATGTATAGACAACTATATATTTTGCATTGCGTTCGTTGAGATTCAAAAAACAGAGAATTATCGATGTTCGAGACGAAAGAAGCTACCATATTTCCCGAAATATACATTTTATATACTCGTCAATATTTATCAAAATTTCATATTTCAATATTATCAAAAATTTCATATTCATTTATAACGTTTACCATTTATTTGTGAGATGTTATTTAAAGATGCAAAAAAAATATCAACTGCCGGAGATAACAAATGAAAATATTAGGGGCGCTCGCCGTTAATATTTCACCACCGTCGTTCGTCAATTTTCACAAAAGTCTGACAGTCGAATATTTACGCGGGTAGCCGGAAATGCATTCTCCTCCGTGCGTTTCTCGGCAACGTGAAAGACACACAATAGCGAGCACTCGACTCGAAAGGTGGGAATTGTTCTTTATCAATGTTTCAATGGTATTCCGAGTCGGCGCTGTTGTTCAGAGGCACGGGCCACCGGGCGTCAAGGCGAGTTAACGTCGAATAAATCAAAATAAAGGGGAGGCCAACGTAGAATCCCCGCTGGGCGACGGCCCAGAAAGATCAGGGGTGCCCTTTTCCAGATCGAAAGAGTTACCTGCGCAACGTTTCACTTGGACCGCGTGCAGCCACACGCTCGCGAGGATCCATGGTCCGTGGGCATCGAGCAGTGAAATTTTTATTAATGTTCGTGAACGGTCTCGCGCCTCTCAGCTTTCCTTACCCCCGAAGGGTGTGAAACGTCAAATATCATTGGGACGTTTCGAAAGCAAAAGGCTTTCGTTTCGTTACTTCGATCTCTTACTTATATGGAGCTCTGCTCACTTTTCAAACACAGCTTGAAATCTCGAGGAAATATGCGAGATTTAGTACAAAGTAGAAATGTAATATAAAGTATATATAAAGTATAAATACGATATGAAGTATAGATACAATACAAAGTATATATATAAAGTATAGATGCAATATAAAGTATATATATAAAGTATAGATACAATATAAAGTATATATAAAATATAGATACAATATAAAGTATAGATAAAGTATATGTAAAGTATAGATACAATATAAAGTATATATACAAAAAAGCATAGATACAATATAAAGTATATATACAAAAAAGCATAGATACAATATGAAGTATATATACAAAAAAGCATAGATACAATATGAAGTATATATAAAAAAAAGCATAGATACAATATAAAGTATATATACAAAAAAGCATAGATACAATATAAAGTATATATACAAAAAAGCATAGATACAATATAAAGTATATATACAAAAAAGTATAGATACAATATAAAGTATATATACCATACACAGTATATATAAAGTATAGATACAATATAAAGTATATATAAAGTATAAATACAATATAAAGTATATATACAAAGAAAATACAATATAAAGTATATATACATAAAGTATATATACAAAAAAAATACAATATAAAGTATATATAAAGTATAAATAAAGTATAAATACAATATAATATATATATAAAGTATAAATAAAGTATAAATACAATATATAGTATATATAAAGTATAAATACAATGTAAAATATATATAAAGTATAAATACAATATAAAGTATGCATAAAGTATAAACATAAAAATTTTCTTAACAAAAGTTATCTGTACTCGATGAATTTTGTTGACAATATTTTTTTATATTTCTTTGAAAAAGACAGAAAAAGACAAAAAGATACACCCTGTGTATCATCTGCTATTATTTTGAGATCTTAATGCCAATGCTCGACAGAACTTAAGTTCTAATTTTGCTGTGTTATCGTTAGTGTGTATTTTTTGACGAAAGGACTTTATCCAAATGAAAAGTTGTTAATGTTGAATAAAATTAGCAGACAGATGCCGATTCTGATCCACGAAACTTCTGAACTTGCTCTTGACGAAGATGAAATCAAAGTTCGCAGGCATCAATTCGTTAACTTGGTTGGCAAACTTTCACAAATTTCACTTTCTTTCATATCACGATCTTCTACGAATCCTGACAATTTTACTTCAATTCCTCTGACAATCTCGTCCGACGGAAAATCATCAGCCACTCGCGAGAAATATATCAACAAAATTTCGAAAATTCTGCAAATCTGCCGGCAACGTGAATCCAAACGAATATCAAACGGCAAGCGATCGTAGCAGCTAATAGACTCGATTTCACGACTTATAGAATTTCCTGAATCGGCGTTGCGTTACTTAGGTGTAAACAGTACCCTCCCACGCGATCTAGATCTCATAATACCGTCAGGATCGAGCTACACACGCGGGAAATGCACGTACGCATGCACCGTACGGATTAGCTTCTTCTTTTCTTCTTCGTCTTCTTCTTCTTCTTCATCCAGTTTGGGGGACGTTCACCTTTGATCCGACGTATCTCGAAGGAGGAAAGGTATACGTATCAGTCAGCAGTATAGACGAGAGAAGGAAACCACCAGAGAGAAGGTATTCAGCTTGGCTAATCCTCTGATTCCGTACCCGAGCTCCGATTCAGGCCTCTCCCTCCTTTGGCCGCCATTCAATTCGTAAGGTAAGATCTCTCTTTCAACAAGGAATCTGTAACGCTATCCTGTTTACCGACAGGATCCTCTTGATCTATGGCGTCGGATGTATTTTTTTTTTTTTTTTTTTTATATATTTATAGCCGGGAATTGATTCGTAATATCCTCGGGCTTTCGAGGGCTCCGCCACGGAAATTCTATATTACAGTACCACCGTCGTGTTTCGAGGAGAAGATGTAGATCCGTATCGAACGCTTCCAACTTGATAATTTTAGCTGTTCGAAATATCTTTGAGAAACAGCTCCAATCGAATATTTCTAATAATCTCCGATTCACTATTTTCTTTTTGAATATTTTGTTCCACCACGAAGAGACTTCACAAATGTTCTTTTATGTTATAAATTAGCCGAAGTAATTTCAGCGATTCATTTCGACAATTCTATCAATTTGGAACGTTCAGTGGTCGAATGGTGTATTTCGTACAATCTGTTCGTCGGTGTCATAATCGATTCAACAACGATCTCGTCGCAAATAAATCGTAATACCAATATCATCTTGCTTGCGAACGCCTATGCTCGTCCCTCTTTGTTCACGCGATCTCTGCGAAACTTCCCCAAAGAAATCAACGGTTCGTTTCCATTTTGGAGAAGTTTCATCGGCGATCGACGTCCGTGCCGTCGAGAACGATGGAAAAGAAAAAAAAAAAGGCGATCGCGAAGGATGAATGAAGAGGAAAGAGAAGAGAGACGAACGTGAGAGAAAGGGAAGAAGTTCCTGGAAAGGCGCTAACGTGCCCCAGCTTCTCGTGTCCTCCCCAGTGAATGGACCTCGATGCGTCAACGTTACGTTTCAATCTCAGCAGAAGCGGGATGGAGAAAGAAGAAGAAAGAAAAGAAAAAAAAAAAAAAAAGAAAAAGAAGAGAGAAGAAAGCGCAGAATGGTCCTCGGTTGAAAAGTGTCCAGCAGGTAGAGGTGCAGTCCCTTTAATACAATTTCGTGCCATTTACACCTCGAGAACGTTCGAGCAGGCAGATCGAAGGGGGTTTCTTCTTTTTCCTCCCCCCCACGGTTGGATCTCTTCGCTGTCGTTTATTGTCAGCGGTGCCTATACACGGTAGCCATTGACGAAACGACTTCCCGTCACGCCATTGCTCGCAGCTCGTTCCCTTTCATTGATCGCCTTTGCTCGAGACGTTGCTCTCCTTCGGCTCGCCTCCTCGAGACCGGACGAATCAATGGTAAATATATAACGATCATCGTTCGAAAACCGTGATTTTCTTTTTTTTTCTTTCTTTCTTTCTTTCTTCCAGCGAACAGGTATCGCCGATGAATTATTTACGACGCCGAGAGTCAAACTCACGGCTGTAACACGCTGCGATTCGTAAGGGGCGAGGTGGCGAAGAGATTTGAAGAGGTGTTACTTTCACGTGTTTCGACGGACGCTTTCACCATCTTCGTGAACTTGGATTGGAATTTTTACTTCTACTCTAGAGCTAGATACTCTCGTTGAGTCGTAAAGTAACAGCATTCCATCGTTTACCTTGAGATTGTTCAGTAAACTGAAATTGTGGGGAAATCGAGGAATCTGTGGAAAGCTGTTAAACGAATCGTTGAAATGTAATGGAAATCAATTGAAAGGGATTGCAAATAAAACGTTGCGTTTCGATCGTTTTAATTTTCCCTACTTAAAAATATCGCGAGAAGAATCACACACTGGATTTGAAGATATTTAGCAAAAAAAATCGAAATTTTCCGATCTCCGATGGTGAGAATCATAATTTTGTCTATGAAAACAATATTTAATATTTATATAATATTTGAATAATATTTCTATAAAAATTATGTATTTCGACTGTATTTCGAGAAATACGAATATAACGTTTATTTGGCGGAGAATTATTAGAGGAAAAATCTCCAGAACGATTCTTATCGTTGCGATTCTAGAAAAATTTTATGAATAATCTTGAATAATTCTTCAACCGGAAATATTAGAGAAATAACTATTTAGATAGATGCAGATGGGCAAAGATAATTGTATGGCATCGGCAAACTCGAAATATATCGGCTAGATTTGAAGATATTTTGAAAAAAATCGAAATTTTCCGATCTCCGATGGTGAGAATCGTAATTTTGTCGATATTTCTATAAAAACTATGTATTTCGACTGTATTTCGTGCGAATATAACGTTTATTTGGCGGAGAATTATTAGAGGAAAAATCTCCAGAACGATTCTTACCGTTTCGATTCTAGGAAAATTTTATGAATAATCTTAAATAATTCTTCAACCGTCGGAAATATTACAGAAATAACTACTTAGATAGATGCAGACGGCTAGAAATATTTCGGCTAGATTTGAAGATATTTAGAGAAAAATCGAAATTTTCCGATCTCCGATGGTGAGAATCGTAATTTTGTCGATATTTCTATAAAAACTATGTATTTCGACTGTATTTCGTGCGAATATAACGTTTATTTGGCGGAGAATTATTAGAGGAAAAATCTCCAGAACGATTCTTACCGTTTCGATTCTAGGAAAATTTTATGAATAATCTTGAATAATTCTTCAACCGTCGGAAATATTACAGAAATAACTACTTAGATAGATGCAGACGGCTAGAAATATTTCGGCTAGATT